CATTGCTTAGACGCTCGTCTCAGGAGCGAAAAATTGCCTACGTTGAAGAACGGCTTGCTAGGATAGAGTATCCTATAGAGGAGGAGCAGCAGCAAAAAGGCTTGGTCCATATCTCAAACCTATCCGCACCAGATGAACATCCGAAAGAGCTGGATGTTACCCGGACGGACACGACTCGATGAAGGATCAAAGAAAAAAAGAGATTCTACTGTTGGAGGAGGAGAAATGGAGGTGTGAATCGTGCCTGATCCTGCTGAGTTGAGTAGTACATGTGTATTATGCCCCCTCATTTTGTGCGATAATTTCATGAGAGCAAAACTCAAGTGAATTCAATGGCTGTTTCAGAAGATGAGCGCACGACACGAGATATGGAACCGGGACGTTGCGAAATCTCATGAATAAAACTCAGACAAAGGAAGATCGAAGCTTCAAATCCAATTCTTGCATTGACATGGAAAGAATCTGAACCCAACCAGGTTAATCAGTGAACTATTCAGTGGAGGCCCGTTGCACTTTACCCGAGCTGACTTTCCTCATTCCGGTTCAACTCGTGCTTGACATCTTCGTCCAGTTCCATCCGCCCTAGGTGAGCACATCACATCTGAGGAGAGTTCCGGCAGGACGCCACGCGGGAATCGGTAAATTTGGCAAGGCTTTCAGGTTTTCTGCTCCCTAAACTCATGGTTTCAGATCCAAGAAACAATAGATTTCAGCCACAGTTTTGCGGCGTTCCCGGAACAATAAGCTTCAGCTGTGCCGAAACGGCTTCTTTGCCGTGCTCGGCCCGCCTGACATTTATTGTCTGTTTCGGCAAAATCGAATGTAAAATTAATTGTTTGGCCGCTAATGGCACTGCTGAAAAAGAGTTTCAGGAGGATTGCTTGCATCAAAACGAACTCTGACACTGATGGTTGCGACGTGCCCGACACTCTTACCGAATGCCGGACTTTCGGCATCGATGGCAGCTCTCCAGGAACTTCTGGAAGTAGTTTCAGGCTGACTGATTTCGTTACTGCTCGGAATTTCAGAACCCCAGGCTCAATGATTGGACGATGATATCTGACGTGTTGCGGCGTGGAATCTCCGAACCGCGCTTGAGGCACTACATATCTACTGACCGCGATTACAATCCATACATGCAAAATGAGCCTTCCAACTTATTATGAATATAGACTAACTTCGATTAGCTTCCTTTGAGTTTGTTTCTTTTTCCGCTCTGGCCTCCTTCCTCTACATCCAGACTGCAACGCTGATACGTCGGGAAGTTCCGCCATCTTGGTTGCGGCGCCAGCTTTATCCTTGGCAAGGACGACCTGTCCATTGCCGGGAACTGAGACTGTCTCGCATGCTATAACCCAAAGTATGAACCGTGCCAGAATCTCCTTGATCATATTAGACAGGTTGCGCAATAACCACTGCCGAAGGTGCAGGTGAAGCGTGGAATCAGAAGTGGTCGAAGGTGTGGAGGATTCGGTGATCTCCATCGATATTATTATTATGAGTAATTGATGTATGGTTGACGAGCGTTCCGAGTAGTTCAGTCAAAACGAAAGGGATTACAACCGGGGCACTCAATGCGGCGTATCGAGGACAAAAAGAGCGAGCAAAACGTGAGGCAAACACATAGCTCAGGCCCGAGTCGAACAGGCGGGTTCTGCGAGATATTGTTTGGAGTCTCGCAAATGACAGCAGATGCGCACCACGCGCTACCGAGCCTTAGCTCCTCTAACAGCGTCCTCGGATACTTCGGGGAATTTTGGGTCAAGCCAGTTGCAACGTAGGCAGGACAATTGTAATCCATCCTTGTCCATTCATGCCCCTGTAAAGCTCATATATATTCCTTGGCGCGGACTCCTACTTCTAGCTGACTCCTCTCGCAAGGATCTTCCTCGAGATGAATCGGGCATGAGCTCAAACGGATGAGAACCAAGGCGGAACAGTTATGAAAAGAGTTGGGCGGGTCCACTCAAGGCTCGGGCCCGATTCGAACGGACGACTTATGAAAAAATACCTCTAATTAAAGTAGATGCGCACCATGCGCTACCGAGCCTTCCTCCTCCCTTTCGGACCTCAGATTGGAGGGAAATGAGATCACCTGTGCATCATCATCGCGAGTACGCAGTACAGCCGGAATAACAGAGATTTATTCCGCTTTGCAAAATATCAATATCTAGGCGGGAGTAGAATAAAACTGGTAAAAAGGACGGACGGTGGAAAGCGGGAAAAGCGCTGCGGAACCCTCAAGACTTTGGCCTGAGTCGAACGGATGGGTCTGCCGGCTGAGCTTCGAAGGCGCCCATTGATGGCAGCTGCGCGCCGCGCGCTATCAACCCTCTGTCCGCTCATCCAATTCGTACATATGTATGAGGCAGCAAAGTTGAGAGCGCGCCAGGTCCTTGAAACTTGTGAAGCTTCATACAGTTGAGACGAAAGCTGAAGGTGCAGCTCTCGCTCAGGCACTCGTGCGAGGTTGAGACAGAGAGAGTGCTATCGACGGGAACAGCTTACGGAGAGCAGATGTGCAACCGTGCGCGACCCAGCCTCTTCAGGGACTCCCGTCGTTCGTCGTTGGTCTGGAGGGAGGGATATCCGGTGCCCGGCGAGACAGAAAAGAATTTGAAGGGAGTGGCTATCCGGAGAGCCGCGAGAAAACCTCATTGACACTAGTGAGGGAGACGAAAGCCAATCGGGCACTCTTAGCTCGGGGATATATCTGTGCGCTCGGCGCATCGCAGCCCGAGTGACGAACTGCGGAGGAAAAAAGGCCAACTAAACAAGCCTCCATGGCTTGGGCCCGACTCAAACGAGCGTGCCCTCCGATAGCTGCAGTCCCGACAACTAACTGGTGATCGAGAGCAGATGCGCACCGCGCGCTACCAAGCTCGGTCCAATTGTTCAGTCCTTTTATTTGACGTAGCGAAGATGAGAGCAGCGCCAGGTCCATCCAACTTGGGCAGTTCGGAACGCCGAAATGGGGTGAGATGGGTTTGCGTCGTAAGAAGGAGAAAAGACAGCTAACACATGGCTTAGGCCCGAGTCGAACAAGCAGGACTCTGCAGGAACCATTCACACCACCCCATGGAGAGAATATGCGTACCGTGCGCGACCAAGCCTTCTTCCTATGCCATCTATGTCCTCTGTGTGAAGGGAGCGATATCCAGGGTTCGATCAGAGAATATCGGAGCGCAGAGGCCAAATGGGTAGGACTTTGAGAAGGCCTGGAGTCAGAGTCTAGATAGGCGGGCCGCCGGTTGAAGAATATCAAGGTAATAGTCTCGACCCGCCAGCGAGACATAAGAGAAGTCGAGGGGAATGAGGATGCGGAGAAGGGCGGAAGAATTCCAGTGAGGCGAGCGGAAGATCGAATAGGGCTCCTAAGCCCCCGGGTCTATCGCTTTCGATTCGGCACATCGCGGCATGAGTGAAGGGCTGACGAGGCAAAAAATATCGGTGAATACCGGCCACAGCCTGGGCCCGAGTTGAACGAGCATACCCCGCGACAATCGTCATTGTACTCTGTTTATTGAACGCAGATGCGCACTGCGCACTGCCAGGACTCCCTTCAGCATTTCAGCCCCAGCAGATGAAGGAGCGGATTAGGCATTCACAGGCGTACCCGTACCGTCCGTCGGGATGCTCGGATACGAGGGGATGAATCCGTCAGTTCGTGAGCCCTGAGTGTTCAGGCAGATTCACAGGTTAGTCAGTTGTGTGCTCATGGCGCGGGGAGCAGACAGAGTTGAGTTGAGCGAGAGCGTCTGGATGGCCGATACGGGAGGAAGAAAGGAGGGAGAGCATCACTGATCGCCACGTGGCATCAATCTCGCTCTCCTCCCGCCGTCATCCCGCCCGGTGCTCGTCGCTGCGATAATACGGAATATGTCAACCATCCCATGCCGGAGCTTATCGTCTGAATTGTAGAGGTTATCTGGAGGCTCGATCTTTGCTGGTTCGCCCCTCCACCGCGTCCCGCTCCCTAGAGTTCTCACTGCGGCTCCCTCCGGCTCCGGAGTCTGCCTCAAGCACTCTCCGTTAATAGCGCCTATTGCATCCCCGTGGCGCTGCGTCTTCCGCTTTCTATCCTCCGTCCGTCAAGCCCACTGCATGACGTACAGCTGTACTATTGGCTTCGCGTCCCGCCCCTGCGCTTCTACGGGCGCTGCTGCCCCCCGCCGGCTCGAGTTTCACATCCTCTACCGCTTCCCGCGTCTCTCTCAGTACGAATTGCACGCACGTCTCGATTGCGAGACGTGTAGCCGCACCGGCATGACCAGCGGGCTATTCTGGCCCTTTCCCTTAGCGTGTCCACTGCGCGAGTTCGATGCCCACCTTCCGAAGTGTTTGCAGAGCATACATTCTGAGTCCGCAGCCACGGACTGTGCATCCCATTCCCCTGCTTGGTAGCGCATGGTACCTGTGGCGAGCCTTCGAGTGCACAAACACGATGGGTGCTGGAATAGGACGCTGGGCGCCCGCGCACTTTATATGCCGGTGTGGTTACTTCCTTCTTTTGCGCAGTTGGATGGCTTCGCAAGCAACTACCTGATGAGCTAGTATCGAGTGTTATTAACTCATCTCTGCGGCGGCGGGCGCACCGGAATTATCCCGAGGATTGAGCTACCGCGCACTTTGGCTGTTAAACGTTAAATATTAAACCCTTGACGCGTCGAACACAAAATAAGAACCGTGACGCCCTACTATCCTATGGCTCGGGCCCGAATCGAACGGGCGAAGTCTGCAGTACTTCCTTGAACGGCCGTCAAATCAAGGGCAGATGCGCACCATGCGCGACCGAGCCTTACCCTCGAGTTTCGGTCCTCGTCTAAGTCAGCGTTGAAATGATAATTGACCTAGTCGACAATATTCAACGAACCTCCTGAAGCCGAGGCTCCCCGAAAGTGAATGGCCCGCTCGAACTGTGTTCGATGCTCCCAGGTGCGCCTAATCCAGCATACTGAGGACGACAGGAGCGAGCAAAAAAGTTCAATATTGGCGATTGATGGCTCGGGCCCGAGTCGAACGGGCGAGGTCTGCCATAATCTGTGTCAACGACCACAATCAGAAGCAGATGCGCTCCACGCGCTACCGAGCCTTTCCTTGTCTACCCTGAGCTTCGGATACCTGAGAGTGTTGAAACTCAGTGAGGAGCAGCAGAGGGAAAAATTCTGAAATACGAGTCGCCGCTACTCTGATTATATCCGACGGACATCCTACCTTCATGTGCTAGCGGGCGAGCGGAGGACCTGCATCAGTAGCGAGACAAGTGTTTCGAAGTCTGGCTGAGCCGATCTGAGTCGAGTCTTGGCTAAAAGGCCGATGAAATATTGTAAACTCCCCAAATCGGCACCCTTCCCGCGGGGAATCTTGAGAAGCAGCCACGATAAAGTAAGCTCGAGGTGGAAAAGACCAGGAGCGAGCTGATAGTGTTCGAGTCGAAGGATTGCAGACATATCGCCCATCCGTAGCAACTGAGCGGACCATATGAGCATGTTTGTTTTCTGATCGTTGTATGAGGGGACTGCAATGTCGTCAAGGTCGTGATCATCGAAGGCGAGTTGGTCGAGGTAGGTTTTTTCGTTGACTTTTGTCGTCCCGTCAGTACTTCCTTCGTCGTCGGTACTTGTTCGAAGCACATATTCTCCAGTCCTGTGCCCGGGCGGGGGCGGTCTATAACTAGAGTGTTTCAGTTCAGGTGCGCTTTTGAGTCAGGGGTCTCCGCGATCCAGAGTTCGACGATGTAAGGGATGGACCTCGGCAGCGGGTGGAGTGATCCGGATCCCACGGTTGCCTGGCGATTAGATTAGATACCTCTGCGCCGCAACACGTAGTCGAACACGTAGTTTGCGGCGCTGTTTGCGTAGCAAGTCGGCAGATGCCTGCGGCTCAGTTTCCGTAGTTTCCGTAGTATTGTTAGACCCATTAGTGTAGTTCTCATTTAGTATATAAGTAGTTCTAGCTACATAGATTCTTTAGTCTTCTGGAATCCAACACCTCACCCACTCAACTTTTGTGTGAACTACTTGGCTTCTGGACGATTCTTGCGGGGTCTCAATAACCTGAATTATCGAGACCTCACAGACGATTGAGATTGGAAGATGATTATGAATCGAGCTCGCCTAGGAATGAGTAGGCCTGATATCGGCAGTGTATGTGATTAGTTCCCCAGTTTTGCGACAATCCAAAATAGGTTTCAGTTGCAAGGTCGTGTGGTCGAAGTCGCCACGAAACGGAGGTCGTAAATGAGGTAGTGGTGCCCTTGGTGGTGCCGGTCTGGACTTTTGAAGGAGCCCGAGTCCCTTGTTCAACGTGCTCCGAAAGTGACACATGGATATTGTCCCAACTGACCCCATGTCCCGTCCGTGCTGCAATTTGGGCGCGTCGGACGGATTTGTCCTTTCGCTAGCGTTTGATTTGTAGTTTTAGTAGAGTTGTATGAAGACACATTCCCGCGTGCGCGAGGGTGTCGATTATTTGCGCAGCATGCCAGAGCTTAGGAAGTACAAACTGCACGGGATAGCGCAAAGATTGTTGTTCTCGCAACGAGTCTTCGCGAGCTGTGCTTAAGTTATCGTAATGGACTAGGGTACAGTCAGTACACACTCCAGTAGACACACAGGAGTGCGACCGGTTCCGGATTCTTCAGTGTTCTCGCGTGCAGCTCGGACAGTCTGGGCTGCAGCCATGAGGAGTCGACGAAGGGTGGGTGCATGCTCTTCGCAGACAGCGGTGATGTCACGCTGGAAGTCAAAGTTCATGAGCGCTTCTGGTGTAAGATCCTTTGTAGACTGCTTGAAGATCGTGCCAAGGGCGTCCATCTCACGATGTGTTTCCCGTACAAGCGCATCGGTCGCACAGGCACCGATCCATGCTTCGAGCTATTTGGCACCACGTTTATCAGCGCTGCAGATGTTGAGGAGGCACTCTATGCCTTGCGTGCAGTGGAAACTGTCAGAATTATCCTTGTACTCTGTCTGTCATCCCAAGAGTGTCATCAAGAACTCAACTATGATGGTTCCTTTGTACAAAAAAATAGATCAGCGCGCGCGAAAGAGGACCAGCGCGCGAAGAGCGATGATTCAGTGATTAATAGAGGAAGGTTGAGTTTCTCAGATACAATCGGCAAGAAGTATTACCCCATGTCTTCGTGCCATCCAGCGCCCAGACAGGTTCAGGACATTGGGTTCGAGAATTGGCAAATGTCGGGATGCTCTCCCAGATAAGATAAGATGTCTTGGTTTAGATTAGATTAGATTGGGAGGTTTTCCCCAAAGTACACATCGACTCCCCTGCCAAAAGAGTCGGTAAGACAGCAAGGGTGAAGAAGAGATAGGATTAAGGGTTCCATACTTGTTGATTCTACACAAATCCTGCTGTGCCAATATTAATGTCAAGTGGTAGGAAACCCAAGCTTTCGAACACATTTTGGATCTATTATGTGACATGCGCAGGTTTGAAATGAAGCAGAAGGCTAATAGATATTACGCCATGTGGAAATTTATATTCGTGGGCGAAGTACACATGGAGGACTTGAAGAAACTGTACGATTAGTGTCCCACAGCCACTCAGGTCGTACTCGGCTTGATGACACCGACTGTCTGACCCACGTTTCTTTCGCGCGCAACCAAGCTTCTTTCGCACGCGCTGGATCTCTTTCGCGCGATTTTTTATACAAACGAACCCTCATACTCAACAGGTGATAAGCGGAGGATCTCGACAACGGCTTGAGTCTTTATCGAGACAGGGATGGTTTGTGGGTCCCATCTCCACTGTCACTGCGGGCAAATGCCGAGGCATGTGGACATCACATGCGCAATACGCATGTGATGACCATGTGTTCCTCATGTGTTCGGCATGCTCCGAAAAAAGGCTTTTTGGGCCTGGATCGATGCATGCCGAACACATGCTGAACACATGCATCATCACATGCGTATTGCGCATGTGATGTCCACATGCCTCGGCATTTGCCCGCAGTGTGTGGTGTGCAGGGCAGCTGAGTAGTTGGAGGTGGCTGGGCCACGGGAACATCAGTCATCATCAATCTTTCCCAAAAAAAACTGAAAGAAAGAAGATCAATGCACCTTTAACTGCATTGAAATTTGCTTTGTCCATTGCTTTGGAAGGGTTGCTGAATGATGAACATTCATCTTCCCTTTCATATCTCATCAATATTTAATAAACATCTGAAGTTTGAAAGGGCTGCTGATTGTGGACCTTTCCATTGTACATTCCAGCCTAACTAATAGAACAATGTTTCGTGAATCTGATTTGGCTACAGATTGATACATTTCCCTCTAATATTTCGACCTCGGTCGATATTTTCTGTTATTTGGTGTGCATTGTCTCTGTGTGGCTGATGATTGATGCGTGTGGCTATGTGCCACCGTGAGAATCCAACCGTGCAACCTCGATCGGGCGCTCACTTCCAAGTTCTGATTGGGAGACACGTGTATACATAGGGAAAATCGCGCATGTACGGCATGGAACGAGTCCTGGTCACCCACGAGTAGATGCGGGTTGACCTGTGGGAATACTCGTGGGAAACCCGACTCACGGGCCGGGTACTCATGGCCACGGGTAGGCCACGGATCCGGTTTTGGAATTTAGTGAAAAAAAATCGTAAACCTGCAGGTATTTGACGGGTTTTCAGCAGTATCCGAAGCTTCAACCTTGCCTCCAAGTCCTTGGGATCACTCCAGACCAGCTAAACAGTGAGTTGAACAGAATTGCAGTGGTACATTTGAGGAATAACACTCGTTTTAGATGCTTTATGGGTTAAATGTGATAAAAACTCGCAGGTACTCATGAGTTTTCCAAAACCTGCGAGTACCTGTTTGACTTGTGGGCCAACTCACATGCATCCGAGTTTGTGTTTGGCAAGTACAGGTACCCGTGGTCACGGGTCCGAGTCACCCGCGAGTCGACTCGTTCCATGCCCTACGCGCGTGGGCATGCGAGGCGAGATCATTTAAACATATTCAGCGGTAGGGAAAAAATTTAAGAGAGACTCCCGGTTGAACGGGAGTCAAGTACAGGGAATACAGGTGGCTCGAATGGCCATCGATCTAAGAGCTACTACTCAGGCAGGTGTGATCGAATCCGGGCAAACACTCGATCCCGAGGAGAATTGTCCACCCTAGAGCCAGTCAGTAGTCATATAATTGATACGAGCAACCCAACTGACCGGCGTGAAGTACTCGCACAACCCTGCAGCTTGATATTTGCATTCCACAAAACCGTCACTGCTGATGCCGGTACTCAAGAGAGGGCTGCCGTTATCGTCTCTTGGAAGACACTGCGCTACACCAGCACTGTGATTTCGTGAGTCGTGGATGCGAACATGACAAAGAAATACCAAGCGCACCGAGACAGGAGTCCAGTTGAGGCATCGTTAGAACGCTTGAGACCGGGTGTTATCGAATCCGGGCAAACACTAGACCCGGAGGAGAATTGTCCACCCTAGAGCCGGTCAGTGGTTATATAATTGATACGAGCCACCCAGCTGACCGGCGTGAAGTACTCGCACAACCCCGCAGCTTGATATTTGCATTCCACAAAACCATCACTGCTGATGCCGGTGCTCAAGAGAGGGCTGCCGTTATCGTCTCTCGGGGGACACTGCGCTACACCAGCACTGCGTTAAAGATTTCATGAGTCATGCACCAGAAGCCGGTGAATAAACATCGAGCATACCGAGCCTCAACAGTCGGGGCTGCCAACACAGCTGCGGCGGCAGCAGAGCATACAATCAGTGTCTGCAGGTAAGAACGCATCGGTAGTTGTCTGAGGGAAGTGAAGAAGGGAGAGGTAGAAGGTGAAGGCTGGAGTTCTGTGAGGGGCCATTTATATGCTGGGAAACCTGTGCAACTGGTTTCCGGAGTTGCCACTGGTTCGTGGCTCCGCCTCCACCTTCAACAGATAGTACCTGTATGGAGTATTCGGTCGGAGTGGCTCATTGTGGAAGGATGGAGACCCCTCGGGACGCCCGGACTTGACCGGGCTTGTGATTATAATCTGTTCAATGTACTAACGAAACCCTCGGTTTTAATTTGGTCCCTTAGCTTCCATCCCCGTACATACCGGATCTTGCTTCGT